TTTTTAACTCATTTTTAAAAAAACAGTTAGAAAAAAAAAAAAAAAAAAAAAAAGAAAGAAAGAAAAGAAAACAGTGACTGGGTAAAATAGGGGTCCCCAACCCCCAGGCCGCAGACCGGTACCAGTCCATGGCCTGTTAGGAACCAGGCCGCACAGCAGGAGGTGATCGGCAGGCCAGCGGGCAAAGCTTCATCTGCCGCTCCCCATCACTCCCCCCTGCTCGCATTACCGCCTGAACCTCCCCCCCCCCCCACCCCACCCCCACCAGCTCGGCTTGCGACAAAACGTTAAGACGGGGTCAGGAGGTCACGCAGTGGAGACTGAGCGGGAACAGAGCTGGAGGCCCCGTTAGACTCGGGAACGAGGCTGCCGCCTGACAGAGGACCAGGCCCTGCGGACGTCTGGCAGGGATGACCGCACAGCACGCCCCAGACTGTCCCTGGACGAAGGACGGAGCCCCAGCCCGTGAAATCGCGAGGCAACGAGGACCCGCTCCGCGGGACGAGGCCCGGAGGACGGCCCAGCTCGAAAATTGCCCAGACCACAGCCTGACACTGCGGTGCCTTCCTGGGACAGGTGATAGCGGGATGAGAGAGCTGGGCGGGCAGAGCAGAATGAACCCTGGGACGCGTGGCAGCCGACGGCGGGAGCCGTTTTCACGCTGTAGGTCTGAGGCCGCTGTCGGTGACCGCGGGCCGTGGCAGGGCGTGTCCTCACCTGCCCTTAAGCCGTGACCAACACAAAGGATAAAGAGACACTAGACCAGAACATCACACGAGGCTGAACACTACACCTGGACAAACATGCTGAAATCTGTTTCCGTGAGTGTGTCACACACCTGTGTGTACACACTCCCACATGTCCTAAATCACAACACAAACCTCTTTTCCCAGCAAGTCTCGTGCGCAGGGCTGCGCAAACCCCGACACGCATGTGCTGGCCTCCCCCACCAGGCTGATGTCCCTTCCCCACAGTCCCCAGGAGGCAGTGCAGGAGGGCAGCGAACACGCCGCCCACAACGCCCAGGCTTTCTGAGGGACGCTGCTGCCACCCTGCACCTGCCTGAGGGGAGCTGGCGTGGGGCCCACACACTGCCGGCCCCCAGGCCACCTCCAACCAGGCAGGCGGCTGCAACGGGGCTCTCCTCTTCCCAGTAAAACCAACAAAACGTGGTGAGGTCACACCAAGGAAGCAGTGCGTGAAGTTGCAAAGAAAAGAATCCAAGGCCACCCTACCTAAGTCCCCGGCTGACTTGATGTCGATGTTGTCAAAGCCGCTGCCGATTCGGACGATGATCCGAAGGGCCTTGAACTTCTCCAGGTCCTCCCTGGTCAGCGTGATGGTGTGGTACATCAGCGCCCCAACGGCCTCGTTCAGCACCTGCAGTGAAGGGGGCACGTGAGCCGGTGCCGCTGCGGGAGAAGCCACGCGGGCACTCCCCCCAAGTGCGGCCCCCGCTAGGCAAGTCCCAGGGCTCCCGCAGGTTCCCACCCGAGCGGCCTTCCCTCTGGTGCGCATGGCAGGCCCTCTCAGGGGAAAGCTGCCCGATCCCCACGTGAGCGGACTGCTGCGACCCGAATGTGACAGATCAGCAAACGCGCGGAGCACACCGAAGGTCCCTGCCCCGATCGACACAGGGGACGCCGCTCTGCCTGCCTGACGCAGGGGAGTGGGTGGGGGCTGCCTTCTCCTTGGGCACCAAGCGCTACGACAGATGACAAACGCCGGGCGCTGGGAGGACCCGGCGCACCCGAAACCTCCAGACCCCGCCGATAGGATGAGAGGCCAGCGGCCACTTTGACAGACCGTTCCTGGAACAGGAGCGGCCGCAAGGACGCAATGTGCTCGGAGCGTCGTCTAAGTCCCCGGGACAGTGAACGCGCCGCAGTGAGCAGGGCACCCCTTTCAAACGGGGAGGAGGCTGAAGTGCCGACCCCCGCCGTCACCGTGCACAGGGCCCGGCCTCCAGGTGGGCCCTGCACGGCCCAGGGTTGGAGGGTTACCCCCGCCAGAAAGGGGCAGGGAGCAGCCGCAGCCCCTGCGCACTATCCACCGCGCCGCGGACCTGGGGGGCCGCCTCCCCCCAGCCCCTGCCCACCACTGGGAGGGGCGTCAAGGGCGCGTCAAGGTCAGGTACGCGCTCCGGGCGCGCCTGCGCCTGAGGTGGGCCTCGCCAGCTGCAGCCCGCAGGAGGGGCCCGCCTGCTCTGTCTCTGCACCCGTCGGAGCGTGGCCGGGGCCGTCGCCCCCAAGTGCGGGGCTCCAGGACACCTGGGGGCGGCCCTCGTGTCTCGGCGGGTCTGTTCCAGGCGAGGCCCACGCGGGCAGGTTGGTGCCAAGCGCACAGACCTCCCCGTGGGCGACGTCCGCCCACCATCGCGCCCCGTGCAGAGCCCCGCCCACGGCCCCCCTCGAGGAGGCCCCCCACCCACCTGCCAGCTTAAGTCCATGAGTTCTGCCAGGGCCGGGCCCACCAACGTGTGACGCACCTCGCTCCTGGGGGGTGGGGTCAGGGAGCGCGGGTCGAGGAGGGCGGGGCCACAGCCCAGAACCGTGAGCCGGGTCCGCACCGGGACGCAGTCTGGCCAAGGCCAGGGACGCATGGTCTGCCATCTCTGGGCCCAAAGGCAGGGGCTGCGGACCGGGCCCACCCCGTTCCAACGCATCATGTAATCCAAAACCTGCCGTACTTGGGGACGAGGTTTATTCCTCCCTAACGGGACGTTATAATCGATGACGTCTCAAATTCAGTGAAACAGAGTCTGCTGGGAACCCGTGGTGATGTGTCTGCGGGTCCCCCTCTGGACCAAGCTCCAAGTGCTCACCCTGGGTCCCCCGGGGCGACAGAGACCGCTGGACCCCAAGGGGCCACATGTGAGCTGAGGCAGCAGCTGGCCCATGGCTGACGCAGTAAGCGGAGTGGAGCGGGCTCTGAGCGTGAGACGCAGGGTAGGGGACTGCAGCCCCGGGGAGACTGCTAACGGCCCCGGCTCGCCCCTTCTACGATGACTGAGCCCTGGTCCCAGCCGGACACGTGACCACCCGGAACGCAGTTTCCTCTGAGGCTGGCCTGGTCTCCCTTCCCCTCCTGCTGCCTGCGGCGGCCTGGAGAACACGGCCACAGGGGACCTCACAGAAAGGACCAAGGTAAGGGCAGCAGGGCAGGGGGTCCTGGGCCCCTGACCCTGCAAGGAGGCGACGGGGCGCTGCCAGCCCCGCTCTGGCCCCAGCTCGTAAGATCTAGGAAGCTGAGCTCCGGGAGCAGGGGGCTGGCAACGGGCGCGTGAATGGACCGGCTGGATCATGCCCGAGTCCTGACAGCTTCCTCGGCCTCCTGGGAGGGCCACAGACGCAGGCGCAGACTTCCGGTGCCGTGACTCGACGGGACCCGGTGTGGATGAGGTGAGGCCCGGCGTGTGACAGCAGAGCAGCAGCAGAGGACATTAAGCAGGGGCACGTGGGGAGGGTGGGCAGGAAGAGACAGGGCAGTGGACATGGCGAAGGCCACGGGCAGGTGCAGGGGAGAGGGGAGGGCTCCGCTGGCGGTTCCCCCCGAACGTCCCTCTGGCCACCCTGTGCTGTGTGCACAAGAGCTGGTGAGGAGGGCCCCCCTGGGGCAGGTGGGCAGGAGCTGGGGGGCAGGCTGCATGCAGACAGAGGTCTGTCGGTGCCCGCGGTGTCCGGCATGGCTAGGTGCTAGAACCAGAGAGACGGACACGTCCCTGCCAGCACTGGGAGGGGCAGCCCCGGACGCAGGGGCAGATGCATCGGCTGGACGCCTGCGGGGCCCTCAGCTACAACGGGCGTAAGGATGGGCTGTGGGCAGGCGGAGCGGGGCAGGTGGTCCTCGCGGGTCACGCGCGTGTGCAGGGCCGGCTTTTCCTGAGCATTGCACCCAGCTGTGGTCCTTAAGTGTCCCGGGCTGCACTTTTTTTTTTTTTTGGCCGTACGCGGGCCTCTCACCGCTGTGGCCTCTCCCACTGCGGAGCACAGGCTCCGGACGCGCAGG